ATTATCGAACTAATTAGTAAGTATCGCGCATTGTCTGACATCCGCCAACACGAGCAAAGCGATCCCGAGAAAATTGTCCTTTTTACCTCGAATACACAAATTTTAGGAATGATTGTCACTCTTACGTGAAACACCCTGTATGAAAGGCTCGTGACGTCATCGCAAGCTGCCGTCGCCGCGGTAGCTTGTGCAACAGTACTTTTTACCTTGAAACGTATGCGGTGAGCGCTACGTGCTTCGCATTGTTATCAGGAGTGCCTATCATCAGTTCTTTTGTACATGTCTGTTTTCGTCCCTCTGTTTCTTTAGTGCTTTCTTACTGTTACTTGTGGTTCGGATGCTTGTTTTCTGCTTGTCCTTTATTGAAACGAATGGTGTGTTGTAGTTTCTATGTGTGATGTACGCACTTTTTACTTCAATCGCTGAAGGTACTTTTTTGTGAGGACGCCGACGCGAAAAAATCCGACCTGCGAGTCATATCTTGGCTGTAACAAGATGACTGACAGTGCAAAAATGGTCCTCGATCATTCATAAGAATCGTTTTATTCGCATCGTTTTCGACCGTTTTTTTGGCCATATGTTTTATTATCACCACGATCGGCTGCTCAAGAGACTTGGTTTAGGTGCTCTGTTTGGACGGGCGGCTTTGTCGGGATATCTTGTTTTTACACAGACTTGTCAATGGGCTTGTCGACTGTCCTGCCTTGTTAAGCGCTGTATGTTTTCACGCCTCACCAGGTTCGAGCCGTAATCGGAACTTTTTCTATCCACACACGTTTTTTCACACGTCTCCTTTAATCGGAATGCAGCATGATTTTAATAAGTTGGATTGTTCGCTCCTGGAAATATTCAGTGACAAGTCAACTTTTCGGCGTAATTTAGAGAGTATATATCGTTTGAATGATCCCGGTGGTCTGTAATTTTGAGCGCTTTTTGTTCTTCTTCGGTGCCTCTTCTTCTTTTACCTTATCTAGCTTGTCAGATGTCGCTATGCGTTTTATGTTTGTTTTGTGAGTGCTTTCTTGGGATAGCTATGTTTTCTCAGTGATTATACTTTTTTATCTTGTCGGCATTTGCTGTGTACCACACAAAAGTCCCTGCGCTGTTTCTGGACACATAAAATAAAGACATTTTTATTATTATTATTATTGCGTACATTTAATTTATAGCAGCGTCTTTAACAAGGTGCTTGAGTTAGAGGGTATGCTGCTTCGCCACAAGCCACAGATTTGCTGTTCTGAGAGAGATGACAGCGAATTAGTTCCCACGGGCTACCCTCCGGAAAAACCGTGCACAAGAAGAGGTGGTGGAGTGTGCATTATTTTTTTTTAAAGATAATAAACATGCCTGAAATGCTTGACATCGAGTGTATCTTAAGCAAAGGGTACGACGACAAACGTAGATACATTATTGGAGCATTTTAAGGCCTCCTGGGGCTTCTATTGCTGGTTTGGAAAATTGGGAAAAAACTACCTCGGCACGCATTTGATAAGAATATTTTGATGGGATTTTAATTTGTCAAATGTTGATTGGTTTACTTTTTAGCTCAAAACCAAAAATGATGAGTCGGATGAAGCAACGTTGGACATTGCTTTTACGTTCCACTTATTACAAGTCGTAGAACATTTTACGAGTACAGGTAAACTCTAAATCTATAATTAACCTTGTTTTCATAAGTGGTACATTTTTTTTCTAAAGCTAAGTGTGAGGTATCCCTTAGTATTTCTGATCATAAGGCGATGTTACCGCCTTAGAACATATTTTTTTCTAAATAGAAAAGACAAGTCCGAAGTGTTATCCCAATTTTTCTCGTACAGACAATGTCTCGATTGTCGATATGCTGTCTTTTAATTTTGACGATTTTGCAAATAACACTGGATGATTATGTAATTTACAGGGTGAAACAAGGAGACGCCGGGCTCTTTAAATCGACCGGAAAATTCGGTTTCTTAACCTATCGCGCTACGACTTTGTGCAGCGTTGCCCACAGATGGTGCATTTTTTTTTTGTAAAATTTGCAAAGAGCGAACTTACCTGAGGAAAAAGTAAAGAAAGAAAAAGGCTTAGCTCCTATGGAAACGCAGCGACGCCACCGATCTGCAAACAACACGGCGCCGTTTCGCACGGGAGACAAGAGATGGCGCAAGCGGTCGCGACGCCAACTGCCGCCAACGAACGAGCAGACGACGCCGAGAGCCGGCCCTTTTGCAGACAAGGAACTGCAGTTCCTTGCTGTTACCGCGCCTGTCTTTTTTGTTTCTGCGACTGTCGCCGCCTGCGGAACGCGCGCCGCTTTTGAGTCGAAAAGATCGTCTGCTAAAAAGGCCTGCTCTCGGCGCAGTATGCTCGTTCGTTGGCGGCGTTTGTTGCGCCACCTCTTGTCTCCCGTGCGAAACGGCGCCGTGTTGTTTGAAGACCGGTGGCGTCGCTGCGTTTCCATAGGAGCTAAGCCTTTTCCTTTCTTTGCTTTTTCCTCAGGTAAATTCGCTCCTTGCAAAAAAAAAAAAAATAAAATAAATAAATAAAAAAAAAAGCACCATCTGTGGGCAACGCTGCACAAAGTCGTAGCGCGATAGGTTAAGAAACCGAATTTTCCGGTCGATTTTATAGAGCCTGGCGTCTCCTTGTTTCACCCTGTACATAAAAATAGGTTGTACATCCGATCAGCTATTGCCAAACAGGGCTTTTGAAAATATTGGGACATGATGTACGGAATGACAAATGACCATTAACTTTGAAAAAAAAAAAAGGTTTTTAAGATAATTATTTACAAAAAAAAATCAATTGAAAGCTGTTTACAACACTAATAATATAATATATACTATATAATATTTAATATAATATTTAAGTAACACAATCTATACCTTGGACTGTGGATTATACACAATCTTACCCGAAAAAAACAGATTGTCTACGTAACATCTGTGCTCTTCGAAAGTTGTTCTTTCTTAGAAGGGCACACTCAAACTTCGTACCTGTTCTTTGCGTCTCCTCTCATATATAGCTATTCAAAACTTCTGCGCCCTATAGGTGGCGGTGCGGTAGTCAAAAAAATGGCGGAAGAGACTGGGACAGATTCTCCAGGATTTCCCGCGCGGCGCATGCTTGCTGACGCTGGTCAGTATGCTAACATTAATTCATTTGGCTAAAACTACGAAGCGGTCAGGGCAGGTGCATATCACAGGTGACGGAGCTGTTGACGTGCGTTAAGAAAATGAACATGGTGATTTTTAAAAGTCGCGGAGCGGAACAAACTAATTCCTATTTTAACGCACTCGCTTGTTTCGTGAAAACTGCATAATACACGAACACGCCGATGCCGCTCACTACAGCAGCAGCAAGGCCGACAGTCCCTGCCACCGTCTCCGCCGCCGTCCCCACTCCTCTGGTTCTTCGTTCGTCCGCGACAGGGCGAGCGACGGGCTGGATGTTGCGAATACTCCTTCCAACGTTAGATTACGCGGCTATCATTTGGGATTCATTCATTAAGATTAACATAAATAAACTTAATCGTGTTCCAAAAAAAAAAAAAGGTGACGGTATTTTACAGTTAAGTTCTTCAGCGCACAGGCTCAGTAGTCCTGGGAAAATGTCAACACAGTTATCTTTCAAACCTCGGACCTTTGTCAAAAGGGGTCTTACCGCCAATCTCGTCAAGGTTCATTCACGACAGCAGGTCACTGTACCTTCGGGTCACGACAAAAGCCACTGCTTTGGTTTCCACTTTGGGCCATAATATTTGCGCTTTAGAGGAAGGGGAAGTTGTGTTTTTGTAGAAGTGAAAGCTATGGACCATAAAGATTTCATAAGATAGGGAAGAGGGGCAGTTGAAACTCCTCTATTACATCCTTTACCTCTCCACCTCGCGCGGCCGTAGGGTAGGTTGATGGAACAGGATGGGATGAATACAAGCTTCCAAGGGACTACCTCCACGAGTTTATTGATTTTAAGGAATCGACGCTTATCGAAGTCACACTCGTGTGCAACTTTTGCCGTGGGACAAATTAGTATTGCGGTGGCACCAGCGCCAAATCCAGCAAAAGAAATGTTAATTGGTACAAGCGCGTTTTATTTTTTTTATCTAGCATACCTTTACACACGGATATTATTTATTTATTTATTTTTAATGTAAACTCAGAATTGTGGAGAATTTGGAATCAAACAAATATAATCTGCGATAAACTCCGAATTTTTTGGCAAAATATAAACTCCGAAAAACACCCTCCGAATTTGACTAAAACTAACTCCGAAAGCAATTCTAATTTTAGGGTAGACCTGTCTTTGCAGAAAGTGATTACACGCCAGAGGCATGACTTAACAATAACTTCTTTTCGCTCGCGTCTGCTTTATGCATTCCTTTTTTAACGCGATCAGTAAAGGAATAACCTGGGCTGTGAAACGCTTTCTGAGCATGCGCGGTTGCTGTTCTGCGTGGTACATCGGACCCTCCGCATGCGTCCACAGCTCAGTGACTCAGCATTTTTCGCCCGGCTGATAAGCAATGGAAAGGTCACGCAGCCATCGTGATCGTTGTCATTATTTCCATCTAAATGAGTTCTATCACGGTGTAAACATTTTTAAAAACAAATTTTATTCTTCGGAAACTTGCTGGCATTGTTTGCGTTTTGCCGACCTGTTTCACTTGCAGCACTGTACCCACCTGCTAAAATCCCAGCTAAGGATTGCGGTATAATTAAATTAATAAAAATATATACTTTTTTTTTTTCGAGTAACGTGCACAATAGTGTCTGTAAAGGCCCGGCCCACACTTGCCTTAGACAACTACCGACTTGGCCGGTTTTCGAGGGGCTTGGGACGGCTTACGAGCGGCTGCATTGCCCCAAGAGGCTTGAGTAGCGGTCTTGTCCAAACCAAGTTGGTCGGAGTCAAACGCAAGAGTGTGAACAACTGCGGTTGCCAGCTGCTCTCGGAGTCGCACTCTCGCCTTCGGTAGCACTCCAGGCTGTTGCTGTATTCGACTTACGGGTTACACTGCACTTTGCAGGCTCGAGCCTCGGGACCGCTCCCGCCCGCGCGATCTTAACCATCCAGCCCAGCGCGCAAGCGCTCCGGGGGCTTCCCTCCGGCGCAAGAGCCAAGGCGAACGTGTGTCGGAGCCCGGACAGACGTCGGGGGCGAAGGCGGCGACGGCGGCCAGCCCACCAGCGCATCATGGCTTCCCCCCTTTTGACGCCTGCACCCGGGAAGCACTCCCCCGCGTATACCGGCGGAGTGGGAGCCTCGTCGAGCGAGGAGGACACCACGAAACGGGTCCTGGCGGAGCCCATTCTTGCTCCGAGTCCTTTCTGACGTCCTTCCTTCCTTTCTCGGTGTCCCCGCCGACTGCCTGTATATATAGCGGGCCATGGCGATGCGGCACGCACTGCACTCGGCGCTCACTTGCACGGCCACACGTGAGTACAAATTCCGCTCCTTGTAGCTCCAACCCCGCACGAGCAGAGGTCCAAGAGCGAAAGAAGCGCACTTCTTTGGCCCTTCGTCTCTCCCTGCTCCGGTCTCGCCATGGTTGCCCAACTCACTCGGGACTCTTGCTTGAATTGTTCCGGGCTGCGCACCGCCGGTCCATTCGCATAGACGCGCGCTAGAACGGTTCCTCTACTGGATTACGGGAACGGTGGACGCTTCGCGCACTCAGCACCGTGCACATATGCGTCTTCTGTTGACGCATCTCGTGGTTTCTCGTTCAATGCGCTCACCTGCTTGAATTTCCTTTCCGTCTCAACCAGCCGCCAATTGTACACTCTTAGAAATAGGGGGTGTAGAGGGGTACACCCCTTCTCCGATGGGTGACACCCCACAACTACATTTGGACGTTCAGTCCACTCACGTCGAGCTGGCCATACCAACTTTTACGAGCTGCTTGATAGCTGGTGGATATAACTTACGAAATAGTGGATTTGCATATCAAAGACGAAAAAAAGAAAAAAAAAAAAAAACAGATTTTACAGCAGGGTCACAGAAACCTTGATTGTCTTACAATATTGTACATTAGCTATTTTTAACAAGTTGTACCGGTTACGAAGGAGAATGTTGAAGAAGGTGCTGGCTAGCGCTTGCCCGTCGTTGCCCCAATGTCCGAGCTGGTCGGTCTTGACGATGCTTAGTCTAAAGCGCACCAGGCTTCTTCGTGATGTGGAGCGTGCTGCAGCTAGAACGCTATACAGATGGAAACCTGGCGTAGCTTGAAAGCGAAAGTATAACAGTAAACCGCGTTGCCGTTTGTGTATTACTTTTCCTAATTTTCTTATGTTAGCCTTAAAGACAAAAAGACGCCAATCTGCTTTGTTCATGACGTGTGCACTGAGCTATTATTGCGAGTTTACAATCAAAATTAAATAGTTTATGAATAATACCCATACCTGCATTTTTTTTTGTCAGCTGCGTACGAATATTTCTTTAGAAGCTAGAAGTTGCGAGCGTTTAACAGTTTATTATTTAAAATCAAACGTATTTATAGATACTGGGCACTCATTGAGACGGGTTCAGGAGTGGAACTACTACAATACGACCCCAACAAGGCAATAAAACGATAAAAGTACCGGAGAAAAATAATGATCCAACATGATACGCAGTCATTCATCGATTATATGAAAGTAATTCCAGAATGCAACTGTACACAAGAAGAAAGATAAAGAAAAAAAATGAAATAGATCAGTTTCAAAAGACATTTAATGCCTTGAATTCTACGCGTACGCTGAACGCCGACAAATATTTTATAAAACTATCTCTGCACGAGACCATACGACACAATACCAAAAAGATGCACTCAAGCCACAAAGCTCATAAAAATTAAAAGCAGGACATTTTTTTTTTATTTCGCGCTCCTTGAAAATAAATTACACAGCCTGTCCTTGCGAGAATTGAACAGGTTAATATCACCGTTTACCAAAAAGGGGCAAAACAACAAATGCATATTTTAAAAGAGGCATTATTATGCATGAATATTTCACCAGCGTTGAATTGGAACTCGTACGTGAACTTTATTTAAACTTACTTCGTCATGCAATGCCATAGCGAAAAACTAAAGGCGATTTCTTATTTGTAAAGCTAATTAGAAAGTTTTTAACGTGTGACTGAACTATTATACATAAACGAAAGAAATAAGGAAAATGATCAAGACGCGTCGTCTATCTAGTTAATTGTTTTTAATTATTTCTCTCGTTTATTTAAGTACTCGCTAGAATTGTGGCTTATTTGCCTTTTTTTCCTCGGTGCATTAGCAAAAAGTTATTAAAATGTAAAATTGAATCAAAGTTCCACAAAGAACGAAACTGTCGTGCTTCCAGAACCAAGTAGTCGCACGTCTGAAGCTTGCGCATTGTTGTTTTATGATCCAAGCATTGTTTATATCTGTAGGTACTCGCGTATGGTGTTTTGTGGTAAATGTAGGGACATGTAGGGTTTTCAGAGGGTGACTGGGAATTTTAGTGAATGAGTTTCTGTGTTAAAACCATCGGGGAATCGAAGGAGCGGCTCAATCAACAGTGTGGTACGGGTTGCGCTTTAGGAATCGCGTTGAAATAGCCTTGTCTTGTTGTATGGACCAAAAGTGATAGTGCCAAAGTAATGGCAGTGAGGGTAGTCGTCTTTTCGTTCCACACGACTCTGGCAGCCACTGAACCGCTCACTGCTATTCTCTCGGTCACCTCTCCGAACCATTGCAACGCATAGGCGTCGGTTTCGAGATCCCGGAGAGTATGAACTGCATATCTGTAATCTGCCAGGATGTCTGATTTTCCTGGTGCCCTGATTTGCACCAGTACAGACCAAAGGCAGTCCAAACAGCCACCAGCTCCACCTTAGCCAAGTTGATTCAATCTGCGACGCTGAAGATGCCGCCGTGGCAGTCCCTGAGCAGGGCTTGTGGAACCATCAGTGAGCACTAGGTCATGATCCATAGGAATGTGAACACGCGATTGTCCATCACTCAGTACTCGCAACGCCCAGGAGGTGGTGACCGTGGTAGCTTGCGCGCCTTATCCAGCGTTTTCGAGCGCTTGGTTCGCATGGTGCGCAAACCGTTACGGCCCCCCACTTCATGGCGCTGCCAGCACCAAGTGGTGGACGTTCGCCTGTTCACATTCATCTGGACCTTCATTCTCGGCACGCTCTGTGTAGGGGGGCCTATGAGGCGCGAGCATCTCCTTGTGAGTTCGGGTTTCTCTAATGGCCAACGAACCTCCAAACCTGGCTCAGTAGGGGGAGGGGTTATCCAGGTGGTCCTCCGACATGTCCAGATAATCTCGCCGGCAAAAGGCCAAAGTTGGTACGATCGAGGAAGTGTGCAAGCAATATACTGAGCCTTCATGAATTTGCATAAGATGGCGGTGTGTGCTTTCATTACCCTGTAGAAAGGCAGGGTGCACCCCTCGGCAACCACTAATGGGGCCACCTTTATAGCGAATTGTGGGAGCCCGACCCACTTCCTTCGTGCCACTTTTGACATTCCTATATGCAAGGATAAAAGGCGAGTTCGACGGCTGCCTGCTTGACCATGTATTTATGTATCAGGCTCGGTGGAGAAGTAACTAAACGGACTAACTAAAATATGCGACTTATCTTTTTAATTGGGGGTTTTAGGGGTCATTTTGCAATTGCATTACCGGTTACTATTATACGCCAGACCAATTTAAAGAATTGGCAAAGAGCTTTTTGAGATATTCATCCATCCGTTTGGGCGTTGGTTTGACTCTACTGTGTTAGAAGTGAGGAAAGGCAAGACAAGCACATCTCGCAAAAGCCCGCTTTTCACTTTAGCGAGCGAAGACTGGAAAGGAGGACTCGCCTCGTCTCTCTGAGGCGTTCGCTGGCTAAAGTGGAAAGAACGGATAATTTTGACGGGAAGAGCTTGCCCTGCTCTTGTTAACCTGCAGCCAGTCTCGGCAAATAATTCAGTGTCTTCGGAAATTACCAGAAGGGAGCCGCCGACGACTGCCTCGTAGTCGGCCTTCATTTTGGGAAGAACTGAGGCAGGTATCGGGGGGAAGGGGGGGGGGGGGGGCGGGGGGAGAGAGCAGCAAACATCTCAGTTCAGGCATGGCAGATACCCTCGAACCATTCTAATCGAAACATCACTTTGAATGCACAGTTTTTCTTCTTTTTTCAGAACCGACAGAAACCAAGAAGATAATAGGAAAAACATGAAGCAGGTCTTAGCACTAGGTGAGTTCTGCGTGACATTTTGTTCTTGTTGACTTAAATCTAGTTGACTTAAAATGACTCGGTTTCGGTAGCGGTATCTAGATTCGTCCACGGCGTAGGCTTTTAAAAGAAAACCGGAAATGTAGCGTTTGATTGCTTAGATATTTAATATAGGGTGGAGGCATCTAGGAAATTTGAATCCTGGGGGTAAAAAAGAACAGGCGCATTTGAAAACGAATTAAACCATTGGCGAATTCTGTCAGGCATATAAAGTCTCGTTGGAATGTTGTTCCATGAGACCAGCGCTCCAGACATACTCGTGCGACGAACACGGGTGTGAGCGCAGTCGGTGAACGTTAAAGAAGGGTAAACGTTCGCTGAGGTCAACGTTCCTCGATCAACTCAGTTGCGGAACTGCTCGTAGGCCACCATCTCACCCCCAAAGATCGACTGCGTTCGAAGCGTCCCAGTGTAGATCTGTTTCGGTGACTCCAGCTGGTCGAGAGATAATGTTTTGAAGCGCTGCAAATTAGTCCTTGTGGCGCAGAGAGACAAAAGGCCCGATTCAGCGTTGCCAGGGATGGCCAGTATTTAAAATTCAAGTATTTGAAATACGTATTTAAAATACTTCCGAGTAATTTCTATTTTCATAATATGTTTGGAAATGTATTTGTCGATCTTATCTCAATACAACGGAATGACTATTTCGAATACTTGTATATTAAATACTGCCCAAATTCAACTTTTGCTGCTGTTATCGTAATCAAAAACGATTTTGACATTCTTCGTTGCGACAATAATCATCGAAGAAAAATAAAAAGAAAAGAAAAGAACTGGATGGGTATAGAATGTTTGGTTTGGTACTTTTTGTTTGAAAAGGCTTTAATTATTGCTGCAGTGAGATCTTCTAAATTAAACTCGCCCTCAATACATTTTTGTTTCTGATCTTGTGGTTGTGGTTTACGCGAGACACCGCGACGCAACGTCACCGGAATTTCCAGTCAATCACGACGCAATATAATCGAGATGTCGCACAAGCTGACGTTGTCCATTTGCACCGCCATGTTTTTCCTCTGTTTTTTTTTTTAATGTGCATAGCCCTTTCGAAGCGTTAAGAAACATGGCTGACTCGATGAATTTTCTCCCACAGCTCTCGCTCTGGTGGCAGTGGCCGTGGCTCTTCCAAGGGTAAGCACTCGGCGAGCCTTTACCCGGCCTCTTTCTCGCTCACCATTCGCGCCGCCACACCGCAGTCACGTCAGAGAACGGAGAGACCTGTAGCGCCCAGGGACGTCTAGCAGAGCGTTTAGAGCGCCCCGGTTGCTCGTTTCTGGGCACCTTCCTCAGTTCGCCATCAAGAGTGATTGACGCCAACACGATCCGCTCCAACAGCCCACTGTCGCGTCTCAGCACCCCTGACCAGCAGGATGAGGTCTGCAGCGCGTTTTGTTCCCTTTGCAGCTGTGGGCAGCGGGCACGAGGACGCAAAATGATCTCCGTGTTGCCAGCACCAGCTCCCCAGCGAGACAGAACGTGCACGGCCGCGTTCTGTCTCGACAGCGTTTCGAAAATGCTCGTTTCGGAATGTGTCGGCCACTTTTCTCGAATCTCAATGGGAGCAGGACGCTCGAACCCGATACTGTCACCAGCGGGGATGAGACGGCTGCTATGTCCAGTTACGGAAACGAGAAGAAGGCTGCTTCAAAGAAAGCTTGTGGCCTCTCTCCCGCCTTCGAGAAGTCCTCTCCTGGTCAGTGGGGAACACGAACGACACCGCTGAGCTTGCCTAAAGGCTCTGATGGCTTCGAGGAGCGGTAGCTAGCATGTTCTGCAATAGATGGGTCTCTATGTCCTGACATTCGCTGCACCGGTGCAGAACGAGTAGCGCGCGTTTCCTCATTCGATTGTTGGCGTTGCCTACTTGCAAACAACCAGCGGATGTAAAGTACTCCCATTGGGGCGACGCACTCTGCTTCGAAGCGGTTCGGCTGAACGTGTCCGTTGGCCGGAATCTCCCAATGGGCACATGGAGTTCGAATGGTCTACCGAAGATTGCGAACAATGGCCGCTCGCATACTTGCCTTGCACAGAAAGTTCTTTAGCCCGAGGGATTGCACCTGGCCGAGACCATACACACATACATACAAATTGCTTACGGGTGGATTTTCACGGCACTGCCTTCTTCCTGAGGATAAATGGATAGAGGCATGGTGGGAGTTCCTTACGGATAGGGCGATGTCGTGCGCCACCGAGCCAATTGTTATTCTAGATATTATTCCTTGTTCTGAATTAAGTGTTGTCAAAGTTCCACTCCCTGTTTTCCTAAATTTGAACCGCCATTGCGCTTAGCGTTTCTGGCATACCCTTTGAATACTCGTTTCCGTCGAATCCCGGGCTTGCGGGGACGTGCGCATGTTCGTGAAACATTATTGAGTTGCCTTACGCTTCACCATGACCCGTTCTCACATCTCTACTATAGAAAAGTAAAAAACGCAGGCGAGCTGGTGAATGACATCCATAGTAACCCTGAGACGTAGGAACAATACGAAAACGAACAGAACAACGAAGTCTCTAACACAGCTTCAAATTTATTGAACAACCATCGCCTTATATGCATGTCCCAGACCTCTTTCACAATTCAAACGACCTCCTCGCCCACTACACAGAGCAGTGTACCCTAACTTTGAACCTATACCGACAACCGCACACAACCCCGAATTACAAAACCATACACGCCGCCCGAAGCATAAAGGGACACGAACCCAAACACAAAAGGACAAAAAACAAAACAATTACACACAAGACGATTGCGAGAAACTCCCGCACTTGTCAAGGCCAGACTGTGAACCCAGTAACACGTACCAACGTTTTGGTTCCCTTATCAAGAGACAAAGGAGGTGGTCCGAGAAACCACAAAGCACCACACCGAAACAAAGACAAAGACCGGAACCGTAAATCATTTAACCCACCCGAAAAAAAAAATTACAAACAATTTTCTCTCGTCTTTTTGTGTTTGGGTGTGTGCCCTTTTATGCTTTGGGCGTGTCTGCTTTTGTGATTCGGGGTTGTGTGCGGTTGTCGGTACACTGTGGGGTGGGCGAGGAGGTCGTTTGAATTGTGAAAGAGATCTGGGACATGTATATAAGGCGATAGTTGTTTAATCCATTTCAAGTTGTGTTAGAGGCTTTGTTGTTCTGTACGTTCTTTTATTATTCCTACGTCTGAGGGTTACTATGGATGTCTCTACTGTCTCCCAGTGCACGTGATCGGTTCACAGTCGGCTCTGTGCGCTCTCTATAGGGTCGAAGCGTCTCACGCCATCGCGGTCTTGAGCTGCGTCATTAAAGGGCGACTCCGGCGATTTTTTCAGTTACACCAACTAACTATATTTTCGGAAATACCGTCCCTTACCTTTCCGGTATGTTATTTTTGTATCGAGAAATTAAAGATAGTTATTGTCAAATCGGCAAGTGCAAATGCTGTCAAAACCAAGATACAAATATACCCGCCCTTTTCAATGCCGCGACGTCAGTGGAAGGAAGGGCTTGCAGGTCGAGCGGGCAGTCTCCAAAGGGACTATGCCGAGCATTGGTTTCGTGCTGCTGCGCCGGTGCTGGAGCGAACTTCCAAAGCAGTCGTTTGTCACCATGAAACTGCTTGTGATCAGTTGGGAACAAAGTCTACAGTCCAAAGAGTGAACACCTCCATTCCAATGACGTCACTTTTTCATTGTTGCCAGTAGAGACTGACTTTGAAATACATGGTGAGAACCAAAATTGTAAGTACAATAACTTCGGGAAAAGTTTATGTTGGCCCAATATTTGGGCTACTATTTCAGCTATGTTCGTTGGTGTTTTTAGAAAAATTTAGGCCAATCGGGGACCACGAAGAAAACGCCGGAGTACCCCTTTAAAGAGTCCTAAAAAGGGGCTCAACCCAATTCTTGCCTAAGTCAATGGGGCTGAATTTCTAATGAAGCTCAATGCCTTTCGAGGATGCATAAACAGCTCCTACGCTCCGTTCAGCGACGCGTCCTCAGAGGCCCCCGCGCGCTGCGGAGACTGCTTCGAGACCCACGGCGTCGCCGTCGAGTTTCCCACCACCACAAACCGACTCCACACGAAGGTGTTATTCAAACGCATTTTGCGAGTTTTGTGGAAAATGTCGCCCACCTGAGGATGTCGTCACTTTTGTAAGAGGGCTGGCCCTCTTTGTTAACCTGTTTTTCCTGCTCATTTTTAACGATGTTCATGAACTCGTTGAGAGTTTGGCAGCAAGCGTTTGTCAGTTGGAACGCTTCGTGGTTGAATTGAATTGAATTGGTTTTATTTAGACACTATGTCAAGGGTAACAGGACAAAAGGCAAATTATCTCTGCCTGACGTGGTCCTATCACCCGTTTACAATGCTCAGCTTGAATGTTAACACGGAATATTGTTTCATCAGCCGATTTTCATGGAGTTCTATAACGTTTGGCTGTAACGTTTCGCTGTAATGGCCGTCTTTAACGGCACCGAAAAGCGTTATGCTCATAGGAAATCGCATTATAAGACTTCATTCCCCCAAAAGGATTTAACTCATCACCTTGAGATTGTGAGCCAAATATTTTGCCGGCTAAACTTTTTTTTTTAATTTTTTTTTTATGTACAATGTAAGAGTTCGACTCGTGCATGCGGAGAATGGTGACAGCCGGGAAATGCTGCTCGCCGAAGAAGCATTGGGATCACAAACCAGAGGCAACAGCCGACTCAAGCAGTTTACTACAGTCAAGGGGCGACTGTCTCAGAAGCGCAGCGCAGCTAAACGCCTCTGGAGGACCTTCCAGTTTTCATACCCGGCACACCTTTTTGTTGTTAGAACTGAGGAGACAAACTGAAAGCCATCGAGAAAATGGCGTCAGGCAGTTCTCCCATCCACTTGAACTAAGAGGTCAGCCCTTGACCGCCATAATGCATAAGAGGTCAGCCCTTGATCGCCATAAGGAGGGCTACCGTCTCGATGCAACTCCTATCTTCGTCTGTTCCGAACTCAAGGAATTTACAGCTCTGCCATTCTAGATAGTGCTCGACCTAAAGCGTATGGCGTAGCTGGGCCCAAAACAGTTGCGCATTCGTAATCATGGAACACATGACGAATATCTTCCTCAAAAGGGCACAAGGCACAGTTCTTGGACCATGGCTAGAAGAAACCCTTTGTGCCCAGCTAGGCTTTCACGGGTAAAACTTCAATGTAAAACCGAAAAAAAAAAAAAAACTATTTTGTCGCAGTTTTAACCGGATAGCGTATAAGCCGTTTAAAAACACTGCATGAGGAATCATTCAGGTATGCGTGGTACAATCGATCCGGGGTCTCCAGTTGTAGGGCATCTGAATATAACAGGCGACGTTTAACACCTGTCAGGTATTTATTCAAGAATAAACTATAAAAAAGTGTTTAATGGTCTTTCAATTTCTTTGTAAGATCTTAACAAGTAGACTCAATTTCTTCATTCATTTGGTTTGGGAACCACGGGGAAGTGATTTTCCCTCCATGCTTTTAGAAAGCCTTCAGAATGACCTTGCTCTTCTGTCTACGAAAGAAGCCTTTGTATCTGGAGTTTCAAGCGCGGCGCGTGAATAAGCTCACTCGCTTCGTGGCCTTATAACTCATGTAGCGCCATCTTATGGTGTGTGTGAGAAATGAAAGCGAATCTTCTGTAGGGCGTGCCGTTCATACGCCCTTCTCTTTTTTTCTTGAAAGCCTATCGCAAATTCTGTGCTCACCAGCCTTTGTGAGCATGATCAAGCTTGCATAATTTATTGTCTTCGCCCGTAGGTGGGAAATGGTGGAAAATGGGAAATTTTGTTACATTCAGAGTCCGAAGTAGTCAGAATACGCGTCGACGCTTGAAGAACTCGAATCAGCTGGGAAGCTTTGCTGGGACTAGTTCTCCAGTGAATATTCTTTGCGCCGCGTCGCATAAACACAGAAAACTGCGAACAAAGGTTAGCTGCGTTCAAAGGTTAACACATGTCTTGGAAGGCACTTCAAAGTTCGATTGGGGTAAGCCTTTTTTGCGCTCATTTCGAGCTCCTCTGAGTGTTCTTTCATCAATCACGCGATTGTAGGGCGTGTCGCCGTTCTCTTAATACATGTGCATGAATTTTGCTCTGTTTTGTCGGAAATCTCTAATCGATGACATTTCATAAAAAAGAAAAAGAAAACCTAGTTTGAAGCTAACTAGCTTTTCAATAGAAGATCTTGCCTCTCCACGGACCGCTCCAAACTACCTACTGCTTGTATTGTCTAGATACTTAGAAGGGGGATCGGTGACCGAGTGGGCTAGCGCACACCAGAGGCCCTAAGCTGGACACTTGGCGAAAATATTCGGCGAGAAATTTGGCGGCCGCGATTAGCCAAAGCCACACTTGACCTTGGCGCCGCCCAATCATAGCCGCCGGATTTCCCGCCGACTTTTTCGCAAAGTGTCCAGATTAGGGCCCCAGCTCGGAGCACGTGGAGTGAAAGCTCGCGCTGCAGAACCCAGGGATCCTGGGTTCAATCCCCACCCCTGCCCGTTTCGATCTGGATGATCATCGTACCGGCGTGCGGTCGTGTATCACTACTGCGCTGTGCACGTTAAGGACCTCAGGCTAGCGGTTGTACTGCTCTGGCTAAATTTCTCATCTACAGCGAGTGCCTCGTCGCAACTTTAAAATGGCTGACCAACTACACGCTCTCTAAATATCCACATAACCTCAATTATTATTAGATACCTAGAAGACTAACCACCACTGCTCATAGGTATTGGATCCAATAGTTCCCGGACTTGGTTCATATGGCAACGTAAATATTGTTGTGCAAACCTATGGTAATTCTTAGATTACATAATCTATATGCCTACTGCACAGACAAGTGGTTTCGTCCAAGCAGGTGACGCGATCCCTGTGGTGCATACAACTATTTCAAGCCATGTGTTTAACGGAGATTAGTAGAAAAAAGAAAAAAGGTGCTTATAGAGCAGTGCGTTTGATAACTTTTCGATCGTTGGAACAAAATTCCAGCCGAAAGCCGCTTCAGAAGTTGCAGACTTCTGCTGACCTTTCCTAAACGAACACAGCACAGACGACCTTTCCTAAACGAACACAGTGACAGTTAAGAAAAGACGGACAAGAATCATCTCCTCGGATCGCTCTGCTAAAGTGGAGAGAGTGGACGGCTTCGTGGGAGTGTCGTTCCTTCTTAACCTGCAATACACTGCCGAGCACTACACACCTTGCTCATACCAGCCGGATATAGCGGAACGACAGCATGACATAGGAAAAAAAATCCTCTACAGAGGATGTACGTCTTATCGCCCAATTTACAAACCTCACTCCAGTTGAGGTGCCCCTCAACTGGAGTGAGGACACAACCTACAAAAGAAAAACGTGAGTCTATTGCAACGTCTCTTGTGCTTCTCCACGCAGGCGAAGCGTGCCGCCTACGAGCTCCCCGACGGCGTCGAGTTCCTGGTGGGTTCGGTGAAGACGTCCTTTACGTGTCCCGCCAAGAACGGCTACTTCGCCGACGTGGACAACAACTGCCAGATCTTCCACGTGTGCAACGTGGTGTCCAAGGACGACGGCAGCACCGAGGTGCAGCAGTACAGCTTCCTCTGTGGCAACCAGACCGTGTTCAACCAGTTCTCGCTCACCTGCGCGCTGCCGGAAGACGCCATCCCGTGTAGGAGTTCGCAGGACTTCTTCTACCTGAACGACAGGCTCGGCCAGGAGAAGGTCAATTTGCACGACGAGTCTGACTTGCAGCGAGCCGTGCCGCTCATTCCCCGGTATCAGCAGGCTCCGTTCAAGGCTTGAGGAGTCGAACAAGACGGCCTTTGAGACCCGCCAGACCTTAACCCCAAGACCCGTATTCAATCACCCTCCTCCCCCTCTAAGTCTGGTCCTCTCGCTTCGGGTCTGTGTACAGTTCTCTTGGTAGCTGGACTTTGCGATAACTGCACCGCTTTGGGCCGGCTTTCGAGTCTTCTATGCTGCTCCGTTTGGCGAACCACTGTAGCCACGACACGCCGCTCTGTACCTCTTCCGCTGACTTTAGTTCGGGCTCGCATGTGACCAACGAAGAAATCCTCTTGGTCGTCTATCCTTCTTCTGGACGTGTTTCCGCGACTTCAACACAATATGTGGGCTCTTCTACGTCGATGTAGCTTTCTCTCTGCCGTCGTGACGTCGTGAGGTCACAGTGACCGTGCTTGCCTGCAGAGTGCCTCGCTTGCGTCACTGGTGCGGCACTTCTCGCCTCCAAACTCCGGGTTCGATGTGAGGACTCCGGCGCTTGTTTCGCAAACTTTGGGAAACGAGCGTAGGACGAAATTTGTCTCGATACGGAGTTTGTTACCCGCTGCTTTGAATTTCATCTTGTTGCTTTTCTTCTGCTGCCCGCTCGCTCTTAAGAAAGGCGGTGCATCGCTTCTGTGTGAGGACAGTGAACCACGCTGTGTTCATGGGATCTCTCTATGAATCAATAAAATGTTTATGCACAACTGAGTTTCCACTTGATTCCTTTGGCGGACTTGAAATCGTCAATGTGGTGGCTCTTATTAAAGCATGCCCCGTACAAGGGCATGAAATACAATGCCAAGTTGTTATTATTTTTTTTGGGGGGGGGGGGGGGGATACGATTAAAGATTAGGGTTGGTAGACTGATAAATTAACCTTCCGATAAATCGCTGAATGCTTTAATTGCGGTTAATTTTTTAAACTGGTTAGTCGGTTCGGTTCTGAGAGCTAATTCCTGCTTTTCTATACTTGAGTCGAATAAAAAATCATTTGAGCGCGCTGCACTGTTGTATTCCACCGTACATCCAACTTAAGTATTCTTTATTATTCTCATCTCGGTTGAATGCAAGTGTTAAATAAGAATGTCAAACTATTTTGCCTCTAAGATTGCTTGTCCACGTTTTTTGTGTGTTTTCTTGGCAAATTATAAAGTTTTGAATGAGGCTGTATATTTCATCATTGATGACATAGCAAGAAATAGTCAAGAAAAATATAATGTTTTGACACTTTTTTGGTCCACGCATCGATTAACTATGGGTCAATGCACCCAAATAATCAATTAAATATCAGGGATGAATCGGCTTAGACTATTTAATCGACGCATTATTCGAGACTCCATCTCACAAGTTGGTTTCAGCGCTTTCAAATGCAAGGGTGCGTGGCTTTGAAGACTACAATTTGTTCGTGAATGCTCTCGCCTCAAAAACGCTTTGGAAAAGCACACGTTCGTGTCATTGCCATCCCTGGAGCTAACTCGTCAGGTGCACTATTCGCCCCTATATTTTGCCGCCTTCTGATTGGTTGCCCCGGCACACTTAGATTTCCTCAAATTTCACTCATCATTCTTTTATCATAAGAAGTCTGACAGTGATATAAGTTGCCACTTCCAGAAGATAGCGTGTATATTTGATTTCGCGAATGCTGCGAAACCTGCCGTCTATAGTTCGGAACCGGAAGTGGGTGGGGGCTCACACCGGCACTACCATGTTTTAACTCACGCGAGAAAGAGCGGATAGGTGGAAGAGAACTATACTATCTAAAGGCTGGACTCCATGGAGCGAAAAAAGCTACGAATTTCGCCCGGCGGCGTTCGCTTTGCGCGTGGCTGTTGCACCGCGCGCCGCCGGGAGAAGGTCGTCGGTTCTTCGTCGCATTTTTGCTCCATGGAGTTCAGCCTGAACGCTGGTTCACATATTTGCAACGGTTGCGTTCGCATGCAACCGGAACGACCGTAGCGACCAAAACACTGAACAACCGTGGCTCATGGATTGCTTCGCGAAGCTACCCCTTGCATCGCTTGCCATGCTGTGTACGGTGAACACTTGTCCAGGTGACTTTGTCGTTATGGTCGTTTCGATTGCCTGCGAATGCAACCAACGCAGATGTGTGAACCAGCCTTTAAGCCAAGTCGTAAGATGGAGTCTGTCTTACTATTTCCGGCACAATTTAAGCGAACTTCAGCATGCATGGTTTCCAATGGGTCCTTCCGTAGAAACAAACCTTTGTTCTTTCCATTACTACCCCGTGCCATGTATCTTCGGTCGCGGTCAAGTTGACACAGTCAGATCAATTGAAATCAAATGAAATGAAAGATGTATTCGGAGAACCGACGGGTAGTACAGTTGTTTGGGGGCCCGTCAGAAATGGCATATGCATGCCGGCATGCGTGACGAGGCGACAGCACCCCTCCCCCGTCACATCATTCAGTAAGTCGAGAAAGAAAAAAAAAGAATGTTCAACAGAAAAAATCACATGGCCGGGACAATCCAAACAGAAAAAATGCATACCACAAAAAAGAAAAAAAACAAAAAGGAGAACACGTTGCATAGAAAAGTCGAAACCAAGGAAATGAAAACCAGTCATTTATGAAGCGATAAGCGCCGAATTCAGAAACCTCACTCAAACTATACACTCAAACTGAAAGGCCCCTCCACTTCCTCGAGGAAGGCGGGAGGGCCGGCGCTGGCCAATCGCGACGGCGGATCCGTCCTCGCGATTGGCCAGCGCCGGCCCTCGCGCCTGCCTCGAGGAAGTGGAGGGGCCCTTCAGTTTGAGGGTAGTTCGAGTGAGGTTTCTGAATTCGGCGGAAGACATCCATACATCTTTTTAAACCTGCGTAAACACGGCACCGAAAATGGCACCAAGCAACAAATTAGGAAAAAAAAAAAAAAAAAAAAAAAGACAGCAGCACACTTCAAGTCAACCATTCCCTCATACGGCAAAGATAATACAAATCTCTTTTTGCGTTTTTCTTTGCGTTTTTTTTTGTGAACATTTAGATAAAATTGTTAAAAAAAAGTAATTATGTTTAGTTTGTGCATGAACATAGTGTTTTATAAAATGTGGCGCTTCTGCACAGCTGTACCGTCAAAATAGCAAAACGTGCTATCTCCTAATTAAAAAAAAAAAAAAAAGAAAAAAAGTAACGCATAGTAAGGTGCCTTACTTTTTATAGGTAGCGCTAACGCGTTCCTCTTATTTTGAGGTAATCTAGGTCGGTACCGCTTTCCTTTTATTTCCAAGCCACGAGTAACGCATTTCGTTCCTTTCTTTTTCGGTAACGCCTTCCACACTGCTCTGGTGACGGAAGAGAAAGCGATCCTGGAGTCAGGGAGTGGACACCGAACGGTTTTCACCGGAAATGAAATCCAGGAAGTGGGTCTGACTCAGTAGCCAAATTGATTCTCTAAGAAATATGTTTTGAATTTGATGAAGCATAAGATCGTGATACTGGGAGTCTTGGTATTTGGATGTCGAAATGCTGAATACGCGTGCCAGGATTTGCGTAGCGATTTTGCAGCATCTAAACAATTACTGACCATCTTCGAAGGTTGTCGGCTCATTTGTTTTATTTCCACGGTATCGTAAGGCCAATTCAGGTATTTTACGCCTAGTCGTTATCAGGACTGAACAAGAGCCGACGGAGAAGGATCTGAAACGTTTCCATTGACCTTTTGTGCACGTTAGTGATGTACGGAACTCTCAAGATGCCCGTTCGAGTGAGTAAGAGAGTATTTCCCACGGTTTTAAACGCTATTGAGTGCCTATCGTGAGAAAAGTGAAATATTAGTAATCATCGTGTGGAAATGATGGACTCTGCATTTTAATTGGATAAAGTGCGAGTAGTTCCACAATAAAAAGAAAAGGACTGGCGACCTACACGTTTTCCCGCTCATCTTAATCCAAGCGACGGCCAATTTAATCCAAGTGCCATCCAATTAACTCCACGCGCCACACAATTTAATCCTTGCGCGACCCAGTTTAATCCCGGGGTCAGTCAATTCCATCCACAATATATATATATATATATATATATATATATATATATATATATATATATATATATATATATATATATATATATATATATATATATATATATATATATAACCGTCACCCCTCCGAAATTTGGACTCGACCATAGCATTGTATAAATACCACCCGCGTTCATCTGTAAAAGTTCTTCCTGACGAAGGCCGGACTCCGGCCGAAACGTCGAAGATTAAATCGTCCGTTGTTGCTGTTTTTCACTAAGGGTTTTTTCTTCTCAGTTTTATACCCACGCCTTCGGCCTCCCGCCACCATGCCCGTTATATATATATATATATATATATATATGCACTTATTGGGTGGGGGGGGTCTTCAGTGGTCGTGTTTTGCTTACATATTTGGTAACTTAGAATATTTGTTTATACAATTAGATTTTTTGGGGGACAACTGATGATTTTATCACTATTGTGATTACCTGGAGTTAAAGTCCTCCCGGTGGGTGTGGGAGGCAGGTTCCGCTTCGATGGTCTGGAGCGTGGTGGCACGAACGTCGCTGAGTGACGGGTCGACTCACTGCTTGTAGGGAACTATGTGCATTTATTTACACTTTAGTTACAAGTCCCAACTTGGGAAACCATCCTGCCTCGTCTAAAGTCTCGACCCCCGTCCCCAATTTCTCTCCATCAAATCCAAAGTCCGAATCCCTCAAAATCCTCTCCGCGCTCTTTTTGTAGGTCCGTAGGGGCCTCCTTTCCCCTCAGGAACCGACCAATCTCTTCAAATTCCGCCACTCACAGGTGGTACACTGTTCTCCAATGGTCGGCGAGCTGTCATCCTGGCGCCCTAACGGTCAAACCTAAATTCCTCGTAGAGTTGTTCTCTGCAATTTTCCCAGCCTGACTGGCGCCACCCGCTAAGTTATTGCATCGGGCAAAAAGCGACAATTTTATACAAAGCGGCAAAACCCTCTGCATACACGAACATTCGGCTATAAGCCACAAGCATCTTCCAGCGCGGGCTCTTTCGGTCCCGGTCCGAGCAGACCCCCGAAACCCGAGACGCTTCTTAACGACCGGCGGGGGGACCGCTCCCGCGTCGCGGCCGCTCTGGCCCCGCCGACCCAAACGTAGAAAGCTAAAAAAACACAATGCCGACGCAACTCTGGAAAGATAAACTTTCCTAACCAAAAGAAAACACCTTAAATAATAAGCATGACTCCTAAATACTTAACTCCTCCCCACCAAGACTGTTGCGTTGACACTTGATGTAAGCGCAACATAAATTCCTTCCCCGAATATCGCACTGGCAAATATTCGAACCAACTACTTGGCCCACAGTTAACCAAAAGCAACAACGTCAACATCACGCTCTAAAAGTTCACCAACTGATCATCTGTAAATGTGAACACAATCAAACGGCACCGATAAAAATAAGAAAATGGTTACAATTTCAGAACCAGAAACACTGAAACGGCTGCCGCATGCAAAACGTCCAACACACACCAGAATGGGCACACAAAAGAAAAATTGCCGTGATAGCTGTAATGTTCAAAGTCAAACTGCCACCAACGATCACACACAAGTTGGACCCACTCCTGTACATTCCAGGGTCCCGCAAAATCAGTGGTGGGAGCTCTCAAAACTGTGGCATAATGACCACGCCCTAATCATGCCTGCAGGTCTAGCCGCAACATGCTTACCAACGCTAAAGCTAC